CAATGTCTTAATGATTGACAAATGATGACATATTTGTGTTTTTTTTTAAAGAAAAATAAAAAAGTTCTCTTAAAAAAAAAAAAAAAAAAAAAAGAAATTACTGAGGCAATACCTCAGATATCCTAACACTATCAAAATAGTGTTGTACCTCGGGACTCTTCGTTCATTGGTTCTGGGAAGAGTGATGAGTACCAAAAACGATGAGTACCGAATAAATTTTTCCCATAAGGAATAATGCTGAGTCACAAGGCAACCAATAGCTACAAGTTCTAGCTTGTGCGCTGAGTACCAAACCAAAAAATACCGGGACAAAATTTTCATATCAAAATGAGTACCAAATTGGTGAGTTTCAAAGCAATTGAGTACCAAGGTACCACAGTACTTTACTCAGGGTTCCTTGAATAGTGAAACATACCCAAATACAATAAAGTTTTCAGAACAAATAGAGCAAAACAGATGCTTTTAAAGAAACAGCTGTCCGGAAAAACCATGCGTTGAAATGTAAAACGCTTGTCACTTTAGGTAAGTGTTTATTCTCAATTTCACCTGTTCCTATGAAGGAAAGGTATATATGTATCAATGGACCTATCTCTTCACACTCAGAGTTGGGAATAAGGTGACGCCATGCTTTTTTAGAAAATGCAAAATATAGTGCCAAATAGCTCTGAATACTGTTTTTTTCTGTAATTTGATGCATGCAGTGGAACGCCAAATAAATTCTCTCAGGTCTGGAAAACATTGCATGCTGCTTTTGAAGCAGTGCAAAATCCTTGTGTCTCTAGTTTTCTGAAAACTTTTTTTTTCCAAAAAGAAGAAAACTCACTGTAGATTCATGCGTGTCTGAGGAACCAGAATTACTAGTTTTCTTTTTCTTGGTGGGGGCTTCTTTTCTCTTCCAGGCCTCCAAACGGAATCGCTCCATAATTTTGATTTCTTCTCGCAGTTGTGTATTCTCCTTCATTAAGGCTTCAATCTGATCCCTCAGACGAGTATGAGTTGCTGACCATTTTGTTTCTCTCTTTTTTACATCTTCCTGCAGCGTTGCTATTTGTTGCTTCAAAGCCTTAAGTAAAAAGACAGATGAACATCTTTCCATAGCAGAAAATCAAAACGATATTAGAAGTACATTCATTCACTTCAGCAACGAATAATGTACTTTTCCCCAAAATATTCACTTTTATACTTTACACTACAATAGCAGAGTTGGAAGGGACCTTGGAGGTCTTCTAGTCCAACCCCCTGCCTGGGCAGGAAACTGTATACCCTTTAAGACAAATGGCTATCCAACATCTTCTTAAAGACTTCCAGTGTTGGGGCNATATAAGTCTAACTGCTATTGCTATTGCTAAAAAGATAAGTGCTTATGCATTTCAGAATCTTAAGAACAACAGTGAGCTGAATTGCAAATGTTCAATGTTTAGTCCCGCATCTATTCCTTGTAAAATTATACAATGGGGCCAAATATGAGCAAGTTCCATGTACTTGGTATTGCATGGGAATAGTTTCAAAGATTGGAAAAATGGCAGTCTGCTTTATTCTGTTCAAGATAGCTCAAACTTAAATTCCATGTTGTGAAGATTTTCAAGACTGAGTAGAACATGTAAATAAACTATTACACTTTGAGCTAATATCAAAAACCGTATTGTGTCCATTCTCCATTTGAATTTCAAAAATTCAAAATAATGTAGCACACTTTTAGACTAGATCTAAAAGATCTAAAAGATTAGCATTCTTTATAGGTCCAAATATGGAACAAGGAAACGTTCCCACTGTACTTCATTGTTCCTTAGTGCATCCTGTTATAGTGAATAAGAGGAACTTACTTTTCCATCAGGATGACTGGCTTCTCTTTCAACTTCTTCACTTTCTGAAGAATCAAAAGTTATTGCTGCTAATGATTCAATAGTTCCATCAACAGGAAAATTCTAAAATGGCAAAAGCAATAGGAACTTCTTAAAGAGGCAAACTATATTGCTATGGATTTTGTACAGATTATACCTCATGATACTGAGTTTTTAGATTGACAAGCAATTCTGTATTTCATGTAGCTGTAAAAGTTAACACTCAAGAAAATTGTTTTCAAAGAGACCTCATTTTCCAAAGAGAACAGGGTTCCATACCATGAAAATCAAACATCAGAATAAAAATTAGTTAATTGAATTTCTTGCATCTGAGATGTTCAGAAGATAAATTCTGCCTATTCATATTCTAAGAATAAAAACTAGGGTTTTCTAAAGTACATCTTTATACATCATGTAAGTATCAACCAATATTTCTCTGAACACTTTTTACAAATTTCATCATGGTTAAAAGATGCATATAATGGGCATAAATAAGTATTTTGTTTAAACCATTAAACTATAACTGCCATAATTGTAATAGTCATTATATGGTCAATTTTAGGAATCAAATACTAGCATGCCTGCTTTCAACAAAAAATAAACTTACTGCCATAAATGTTTGGGGTGTTTCAGGTGTTATTACCTTTTTGTCCAAATCAGCTTCATATGCTTTTGCTGGTTCACATTTTGGTGACAAGCTTCCTAATTCAAATATAGATTCATTAATAAATAGGAATATAAACCTTCCAAAATCTTATCAATGACATTAATCCACTTAGAAGAATATTAAACACTGATAATTGATGTGGCTGAACATATTTAAAATCAAATAATTTTTTTTTTAAAAAAAGATTATTTTAGCCCAAGAAAGAAAACAATTTGCAGCTTCATATACTTTGCAAACAAACAAATCCATTCTAACAGATCCAAAATTCTGAAGGGATAATAAACTGCCACGTCTGGCTACTAGATCCAATTTTTAATCAAACAGTTTACCTTCTGATGGCAAATCACTTTTGACATTTATTTTATTGCTCTTTTCTACTTGATTCATTGAAGACCCACTGTGAGACTTTGGCAATGCTGCTGGCAAATGCTAGAAAGACCAAAAAAAGGGGAAATATTTCTTCTTCAAATGTCTACTATTCCAAAAGTTAAGCTTTTTCAAGAAACAAATTACGTCATTTTTTAAATTCAGAAACCAACAATATATGGTAACTATTACTATGCACATTGGTATACTTCACAAAAGCAATCAAGGAATTGAATTTTATAGTAGTACACAATAATAAAAACTTTAGATTTTTTTTTTAAAGCTGCAACTTTTGCACTTCAGTTCTGCTCTTCCCACCAAAATTGCTAATATTTCTAGCTATTTACATAGAACACTGAAAGGCAGTTTATACTGTACTATAACAAAAAGTACAATGGATAAAAAAAAATCTCCCAGTACCTGGCAATGTGTCACAATACAGATCACACAAAAGCAAAGCCACATTTTTAAAGACTTGTGGTGCCCTTAGAGGATGAGAGCCTACAAATCTCTAGGAAAATGCTATTCTAGAGGATGGGTACTATATAAGATCGTGATGGTGAACCTATGGCACGTGTGCCATGGGTAGCATGCAGAGCACTCTGTGGGCACGCCAGCTGTTGCCCCAGCCCAGCTCCACCGGGCATGTGTGTGCGCCTCCCACAAGCCAGCTGATCTTCGGGTCTCTGTTATGCATGCGCACATGCATGAGGGGACACATGCACGGGGGCGCTCACATTTTGGGGCCCTGTGAGGCCCCCTGGTGCTTTGTTTTGGGCCTGGAAAGCCTGCACTAACCTGGAAGCAAAAAAATGGGCAAGGGGGGGGCGCATGCATGGGGGAGCGCAGGGGGGGTCACACACATGTGCAGGGAGCAGGGCACGTGGGGGAGTCACGCACACATTGCATTATGGGTGCGGGTACACTGTCGCACGTGCTTTCAGCACGCAATGACAATAAGGTTAGCCATCACTGGTATAAGAGATGGCATATTACTGGAGTCCCATTGGTGGCATTATTTAATCAATGGGATTCAGAGCATCTCAACTCTGCTTATCTTACTGGACAGACAGAAATTACTGAGGTGCTAAATTAGTACAGTGGGACTATAGTTCCTGTATACTATTGGGTGACTGGAATGGAGTGATAGACACTAAGAG